AGCTTGACAAACACGAAATGTTAAACCAGTAAACCGGCTTCAGACGTCAGAGAGCATGCAATTCAGGAACGTCCATTATCTGTATATAAACTATCAAGGACATAGTCACTGCGATACCTGACACACGTTGGTCATGTGAATTGTTCTTGTGTCCTTTCCATCAGTGACCAATGACGCAACTTGGATGGACTGGATTTAGGACAATATTGCTGGGACGGAGCACCACTGTCCCAACATTCTAAATGACTTCGTGTAGATGCAAAGACGATGAGTTTCGCTTTTCTAACCAGTTCTTGCTACAAAAGGATGTATTTTGTTCACGTTAGACGCGTTGGTGTTGGAGTTTGCACTCCAAGCAACCACAGACGGACCGCATTCGTATTTCTGTTAGCAAGTCAAGGAACGAATTTTTCCGATTAATCTGTCAACACCACACTTCGTAGCACACACCGCTTGTCTTCTCTTTTTGACTAATTTTATTCCCCCAATATAAAGGAGAAATCAATATTACCGGAGAGTTTTCTTATAAGGAGACGAGAATCGGCGAATTGTTGCGGGCGATCCTCCTGGTTAGGTTTTTCACAGCGGCTAGTACTCTCTCACCGGTCTTTCTCAATTGTTTAAACGAAAACCTTCTGGTCAGTGAATTAAATTGAAACAAACGAATTTATAGCCATCAAGTTTTAGCAACGTTTTCACTCCGAATGGTCACCAACCGTGATGTCCTGACTAGCTGATACGGTTTGATGAAACACACAATTCAATCAATTCACTTTGGCTGTCCAAAATGATGACCCTGGTTGACAGTACTGAGTGAACGAGTTCGACCCCTGGAAGAGTTGCTTTCCCGTCGGAGCAGACGCCCGAAAATGGGTAGAGTTGACACGAAATTGCAAGCGAAGACGGACGGGCGACAAACCTCGATAGTAAAACAACTACGGGATAGGCAGATCTTCAGCTGGAGCAAAAACCCAGAAAACGAGCAGCATTGAAGCAGAACAGTGGAAGTCACACTACTCATGAGTAGTCAAACGGGAAAAATAGGCACTGGTTACCGTTAATTCACGGGAGGAATAAACAGGTGGTATTTTCACTGACAAGGTGTTGACTTAGTGGGACTAATAGGACTGCTGGTGAATAGTCAGCCTGTTCACCTCACCACCCATCGCCAACTCCCACGGAGGATGCGGTAGTCACCAATCGATGGGCCATTGTGGTTGGATCCTAAAGTTCAATTACACAAGGCCTTTGGGTCTCGACAATCAACTGTTGAATCCAAGTATGAAAAGCATCGTGTAGTTGACTTTCTGGACACGACCATTTCTTCAGTGAAAAGTAAGGACACGTAACTTGCAGTGCTCGGCAGGTAATTTCCGAAATTAATTTTCATTAGATGCGTTAACTCCGGAAATTCGCACCATCGGCTGAAGGTGAAGATGAGTAATCAGACAAAGCCGACAGCTACTTCCGTCTGCAGGAAGCAAGTTAATGTGAAAATA